ATTTTTTTATTTTGTTTCAACTACGGCAGACCAACACGGCTACCTGCCTGTAACTAGAATCAAACTAGTGATTTGAAAAGGACTTACTCATGAGGAAAATATGTATAGGCTCACAGTTCAATAGAATAAAAGACCTATTCCAAACTCCAATTCTATGCCAAATACCATGTTAAAAAAGAAAAACCTATCATAATATTACTATAACGGGTTGGCAACCGATTATGCCAACTGCCCCTAAGGTTCCTCTGCTTTTCACTTAAATATAGGGTTTCTTTCTAAATGCTTCAAATGGTAACCACATCCTGTGAAATTAAGCAATTCTATCCTGAACCCACATTAAATTAAACAACCTATAATGCAAACTTTAAAAATCCTTGGGTGATCAGTTGCATCATAAAGGGCAACATGAGCAAGTATAAAATCAGGCATTTGCCCATTATTGCCCTGAGGCTATCCTAACTGAATGTTGTAACTGAAAACAGCAAAAATCTAAGACTATTTAGCTCATATTGTGCACCACCCAGGCAAGTACTGCTTTTGTGGATCAGACCAAATATACTTATATACTTCTAGGGCGACGCTACATCTCCCACAGTGGCCAGCTATGTTCTGCCTCCACTACTGGAGATGGCATGTTTGGAGTCACAAGTGAAGAGAGTGCTGTTGAATTCAGGTCCTGCTTGCAGGACTCCTATAGGCTTCTGGCTGGCCACTGAGGGAACAGGATGCTAGACGAGATGGGCCTCTGACCAGATCTTTAAAAGGTTCTTCTTACATTATTATGCCACTGGTGAGCTCACAAGGAGAACTAGAGGAAAAGCCGTTTATAGCTTGTTCCCAGCGTTTGACATAAGTTTAGCAGCGAAGACCTAAAAATATTGTGCTAGGAAAAAGAGAAGGGCAGAAGCAGGATAAGAGTGGCCTTCCTTTCCTTGGCACTCCCAGTTCCTTTGCCTCAGTCTGGTCAGTGGGCTCATCTGCCGGCCAACTCCGAGAAACAGATACTAAACCCAGTGGTTGTCACTAACAGGCTGCTTGCCTGAGTGGTTCTTTCTAACGCCACAAAACAGAAAGACCTGGCACATACACATTCAACATCTTAAAAGGGGGCTGTAATCTATCTACAAAAGTGGAAAACTTGAGCACATTTTACTTCCCACTAATGTCAATGGCAACAATCATCACTTGTTCAGCATTATTCAATTGAAATCAGCTGAATCCAGAAGCTTGGCTTGTGCCCGCCCTTGGTATTTACAAATGATTGCCAACTTTTTATATCAGGGATGACAGTTAGGTTTCTGTCTCTAACCAATATGGCCTTATATACCTGGAGATAAGCATCCTTGCGGTAAACAATGCCAGATTTGAGAATTGTATCAGGTGCAACTTCGTAGCTGAAGTGTCCTTAGAAGGCAGGGGTGAGGGATCTGGTGCCCTTCAGGTATTATTAGACTCCTGCTCTCATCATCCCCAGCCAGCATGACCAATGGTCAGGGATGATTTTTTTTATTTGTTTATTTCAAGTTTGTGGACTGCTTTTCATCAAGGGGTCTAGAAGCTGGCAACACAAGAACAGGCCTTTCCTGTGGTGGCTCCCCACTTGTGGAATGCTCTCCCCAGAGAGGCTAACCTGGCACTTTCGTTACATATTTTTAGGTGCCAGGCAAAAACTTTCCTCTTCTCCCAGGCCTTTGTTTAATTAGCCAATCAATGGCCTTTTAAACTGGGGGAGAGGTATTGTTTTTGTTGTTACTATGTTATGCATTTGTGTTTTTATATTGTAAACTGCCCTGTGATCCTTGGATGAAGAGCAATATAGAAACTTAATAAACAACAACAAGAAGATGATCCTAAGTACCTGAAGTTCTGCTACCTCATAGAATCATAGAAGTGTAGAATTGGAAGGGACCCTGAGGGTCATCTAACTTAACTCTCTGCAATTCAGGAATCTCAACTAAAGAATCCATGACAGGTGGCCATCCAACCTCTACATAAAAACATCCAATGAAGGAAAGACCACAACCTGCAGAGGGAGTTGGTTCCACTGTTGAACAGCTCTTACCGTCAGAAAGTTCCTCCTGATCTTTAGTAGGAATCTCCTTTCTTGTAACTTGAATCCAACGGTTTGGGTCCTACCCTCCATAGAAGGAGAAAACAAGCTTGCATATTTGTATGTGTGTGTATATACATATATCACTTTTATTGTATGAAATATGCTTCACAATCCTGATTTCACCAAGCTACGTAAGCCCTGTGAAACAAGGTACTGTATTAATTTGTACTGCAGACATGAAAAATTTAAGCTGACACACAGGGGCAGTTGCCAAAGAACTCCAAGGCTAAACTGGTATTTGCACGTGGGTTTCTTTGGCTATATGTATTGCCAAAGAGGAATTAGAAGCATTTGGAAATCTTACAGGAAAGGAACTAATCAGGAATACTTCCTAAGTAGAACTGAACTCAGCAATTCAGGCAGAAGCATTAATAAAATTTTATTATTATTCTGACCCCCTCCTTTGGTAATTCTTCACAGAACTCTAGCCCAATGGTTGCCATCAATTTGATTTGAACTGATTTTATAATGAAATGATTTTAGAATGCTGTATTATTTTACTGTTGTTAGTCACTCTAAGCCCGGTTTCGGCTGGGGAGGGCGGGATATAAATAAATATTTATTATTTATTTATTATTATCATTAAAAAATAACCAGAAACAGACCAGCCCATTTATTCCAGGCTCTCTCATACACGAAACAATTTTCTTCTCAGCATATCAGATCTTCTGCCCAGGTGGGGGATAAATATGAAGGGAAACCAGCTTCTACCCATAGGTATATGAAGGGAACTTGACTACATCACACTCAGCAGACTATAAATGGAACAGAAATTAAGCAATTGCACCCTCTGTAGGCCAAACCTTATCAGTTCAACATCATATACACACAAATTCCATTCACCAGTTAATTTTTCAAAGAGGGGATGTATGTGCACAATCAGACATCAGATATACACATGCAAGGCTGGTCCAAGCGGGCCTTCTGCCCACATAAAACATTAGGTAAAACAAATTAAATAGGGGAGTAAAGTACCCCAGTAGGCAATGTTCAGCTTCCATTGCTCTCTCATGTTTGTAGCCTCTAAGTGCCATAAGGTAAAGGTAAAGGGACCCCTGACCATTAGGTCCAGTCGTGGCCGACTCTGGAGTTGTGGCGCTCATCTCGCTTTATTGGCCAAGGGAGCCAGCGTACAGCTTCCGGGTCATGTGGCCAGCATGACTAAGCCACTTCTGGCGAACCAGAGCAGCGCACAGTAACGCCATTTACCTTCCCGCCGGAGCGGTACCTATTTATCTACTTTGACGTGCTTTCAAACTGCTAGGTTGGCAGGAGCAGGGATCGAGAAACGGGAGCTCACCCCATCACAGGGATTTGAACTGCTGACGTTCCAATCGGCAAATCCTATGCTCTGTGGTTTAACCCACAGCGCCACCCGCGTCCCCTAAGTGCCATAGTTGTTTGCATTTTCAGATTGCCAGTCACACTCTTTATCCTTTCCAGCTGATCAGCAGGATAAAAGCCTTCCTTGCAGAATCAGTCTTTCTGAACATCTCCCTCTTGCTTGCCTTAAAAACAAATCTCAGTAGACTTTGGGAGCAACAGGTGCCTTTGATAGCTGTTTGGAAGCTGCAGCTAATGAACAACATCGTGGCCCACCTGCTGATCGAAGAAGAGCCACAGTACCCAGAATCAGCTGAGCACCCATATTTATTCCAGGACACTATCCAAAGTGTTGATTTTTGACCTGTGAAGATTTTTACACTATGTTGATTTGCAATCTCCAAGATCAGTCAATACCTCTGATTATACATTTATTTGGTGTGGTTTTTAGCAGCTAAGTTTAATGGGTTTGGTTTAATGCAGGGATGGGAAACCTGTAGCCTTCTAGTCTTCACCCCGACAATTACCTATGCTGGCTGGAGGCCAACAATATTTAGATGTCCGCAGGTTCTCTATCCCTACTTATATTTACTGCAGTCTTGTCATTTCCTTCTTGCCCACCATGAATTGCAGCTGCCTCCAAGTGGCTAAAAGACGGCTTTTTCTTCTAGCCTACTATCTGCACAGCTCCAGAAAGAGGTGCAACAAGCCACTGCCATCTCAAACCACACGCGTGCCTTTCTTATATTTATTTATTAAAGTATTCATACACCGTCCTCCTACAAAAACATCAGGGCAGTGTATAACAACATAAAGACATTTTAAAACAATACAAAGCAATCTCTAAAATGACTAGCTACTCAGCGTACATTTTAGACAACTGCATAAACCTGTCAACATGGAAAGGTGTTTAAGAGATATCTAAGTCAAAAGCAAGGATGCCTGCCAAATCTTCCTGTGTCTTCTAATTTTACAAAAAGTGAAAACAGCCTAAACACCAAATCACAAAGTGACCAAATGATCACAGAAGTGCTGTTCCTGATTAATCCTATTAGACTGTAAATCAGGACATAGCTAAAAAAAAGAAACTGAACAGAAATAAATATTTTGTGTTGCTCTCACCCAAAATACGGTAATATGGACCCAAAAATATTTCCTTTGCTTTCCCTGATGGTCTCTTTCAAAACACATCTTGAGCAATTTGTGAAAACATTTGTCTTGATTATCTACTTGGTTCAGTTAGCTCTGTAACAAAATCTAGAACCCCACTGTTCATAATTTGGTCAAGCACAATCCCCAGTGACGCTAAAAAAACATGTTTCAGAGTTTGAAAATGGTCATTTTCTACAAACTATTGAACTTTGCTGCCATCTAGAGACAAAGTCCTTCACAGCTCTTACATTCCTATCTAGTATCTTCTTTTAAAACAACCCCAAAACTGTATTATTCCAGCAGTTTTAAGTTATATTTCATGCCAATTTGTATGTTTAGTTTACTAAAGAACTGTGCAAACTGCCAGCCTTAACAATTACTCCTCTCCCTTTTCTTTTGTAATCTATCCCAGATTGCTGATGTCTTCCGTCAAGCGATTCCTACCCGGATCCCTAAACCAAAGAATACCAGTGCAACTGTAGTACCAGTGAGGACACCTACTGGGCAGCTCAAGACCCCACTCCAGGACAGTAAAGCTGGAAAATCACACATCACCAAAACCATTCCCAGCGTTGTGATTCAAAATTGTGGGAAAAGATAGACTGGCCTGATATGTAATAGAATAATGTCTAACTTTTGAGTAACGAGGATACACCATGCCCACTTTGTCCCCAAGACCTATGCAAGTAAAAGGTAATATAAAAGCATCATACATGGGCAGAAAACGTTGACACTGGAATTGTAAAGCATCAGGACATGCTTATGAAGTTTCTGTTCTCCACAAAGCAGTGTAAGGGTGCTCCATATTCCCGATCTGTACCGAGTAGCACATTAACAGAGGTTGCCTCTTAGCACAGAGTGAGAAATGAGGTTTCCAATTAGTTCAGATGTTAGCTCTTGCAAGGTTACTCCACACAGCAGTGAAATTATGTCCATCTACTTATGGTCTCCCGCTGCTCGGTCCCAGCGCCTGCCAACCTAGCAGTTCAAAAGCACCCCCGGGTGCAAGTAGATAAATAGGGACCGCTTACTAGCGGGAAGGTAAACGGCGTTTCCGTGTGCTGCGCTGGCTCGCCAGATGCAGCTTGTCACGCTGGCCACGTGACCCGGAAGTGTCTGCGGACAGCGCTGGCCCCCGGCCTCTTAAGTGAGATGGGCGCACAACCCTAGAGTCTGGCAAGACTGGCCCGTACGGGCAGGGGTACCTTTACCTTTACCTTTACTTATGGTCTGTTACTACGTAGATCATTTCACTTGCTTAAACGGTAGCTATAGTTAGAAGGTCACCTGAGAGCATTTTCTTCTGGTGAAATGGTGACAGTGTTTCTTAAGGTTGTTTGCATTGCTATGAAACAGAAAAGTCGTATCAGACAGACAGTATACTAAAACTTTAGATATGACCAAGGTAGAGGAAGATGCTGCAAATGGGTAACTGGGAAGTAGACAACCCAGGCCAAATAGCAATGGATGCTTGTCCTGCTCCTTCCACCTACAGAGAACCTGGTGGTATGGCACCAAGAACAAACTTCTCCTGCCAGACACCAAAATGGCAGCAGAAGAAACACAAGAGAAGGCTAGAGGGTTTGACATTCAGTACCCTTCCCCAACAGGAAAAAGAGTTGGGGAGCAATGGCACTAGAGAGGCAGAAATGCTGCATACCATACAGTATATGGAGGAAGTGGATTATTTGCAAGGAGACGATGTATTTTAAAAGCTAAGGTGCTGTGTATTTTAATTATTCCCATGTACTTTGTGTGTCGAAGTGTTTAACATAGCAGGTTGAATGAGAAAGTATTTTTTAAATTGACAGCTAATTATTTTAAAGCCAGTACCATTCTTGTGTGTTTGGGTTTGTAAAGCAAGGCCATGAACATTCTCCTATGTCTCATTATAAAGCTAAATCTTTTCATATGTCAATGTGAAATAATATGCATCACTGAGCAACATTCCTAAGGAGCTATCCAAAGGAGGGAGATGTTACTCTTACAACAATTCCCTAAAAAGCATATGTGAAAAAATTTAAAGGGGGAGGGGGGGATGCAATAAGTTACCATGTTATTTTGGCTTCTGGTGTCAAATGAGGGTCTCCCATGCCCTAAGTGACTATAAAAGAAGAGTTTTCCCCCTAAGAATTGAGGTGGGACTGTTGAAGGAGGCAGAGGCTGCTTCTGAAGGAGATGAGAGTCAACCCTTTCCCAGGCATGTGTGCCTGAGTGAGGACACTGGTGGAGGAAGAGGGGGGCGGGGGGAGCGCACCGCCCCCAGCAGTGTGATCCCAGTGGGGTGCCATCGCAGCTGCCCCCCACCTGTGCTGGGCGCCATGCCCCCAGGACGTGCACCACGCCACTGCGGGCAGTGTGCCATGCCCACGGGACATGTGCCAGCCATGCCCCCGCCTGCTCTCCGCCACTGAGAATTGAGTGACAAACACCAAACACCCCTACCGTTCAGCGCAATGTAATTATGAACAGTGTAGTATAGATACAATACTGGAATACCTGCATAAGATAGAGGTGCCTGTTGCATTTTGTTATTTCACTCAGAGACCTGCAGAGTTTATTTCTCCCCTTGACACCTTCTAGAGCTAGGATCTCCAACATGGTGCTTGTGGGTACCACAAAGCCCTTAGACACACCACACTTTGGTGCCCACCAAGGTCCCCTGCCCTACCGATTTGTTTTTTAAATTGAAGATTTGTTTGTTTTGGAGGGTGTTGCCTGCTTGGTGTTTTGTGAAACAGGCATTTTGTGGTGCCTATGAGCATTTATTAGGTTTCAAAATGTTTTCCCCTGGCAAATAAGGTTAGGGAACTCTGTATCAGGGCAAAGCTTGTAAACATCTGACCTCCAGACGGGATCATGTCAGAGTTGTGTATAGCCACTGAATCTTGTCTAAACTCATGAGAGCTGACACTATGTGTCCCAACATACAAGTGAAGCCTAACCAGGTCCATGTCATGGGGTCCTGCAGAACATCAGTTAATGCATACCCTAGTTGTTTGTCTACAATAGTTTTGCAAGTTTTATTTACACCACATGAGATGGGAAAGGATGTCTATTGAACACAAACTATTGTGTTGGACAGGAGAAGCCTACAGACGTCAAACAAGTAAGCATATGATGGAAACAGCTTATAAAATGACACGTTGCTTGTTTAACAAAAATTATAGACCACTTGATTGCAATAAAACCTTAAAACAGTTTAAAAAAAAATACATCATCAATATAAGACCATTAAAAACGGGTATTTCAAAACTTTCAACAGCTAATTAAAATCAAGAACAAACCAAAAAGCAGACTAAAACACATGTAACTTCTACAAATGTTTGGATACGCCTGCCTAAACAAAAATGTTTTACGCAGGAGCAGAAAATTTCAGCGAAGGCACCTGCCTGATGTCAATAGATGGGGAGTTCCAAAGTGTACGTGCCACCACACAAAAAATGCAATTTATTACACAGCCCTGTAAGAGAAATACAACTTTGGGAAAATGGCACATGGCAAGAAACGGGGGGGGGGGTATTATTTATGTAATAACTAGTAATTGTGCTGAAGTTTGGATTTTGGGGTAAAAAATGAGGTACACCATATATTGATAATGGTGCCATGGGTGCCAGCACAAAATGGCTGCCATAAGCTGCAGTACAAAAAAAGTGACAGTACTCCATAATGGTGAGTACTGTAATAAAAAAACCAGGCCGCAGGTATCCTAGGTGCAACCATCTATAGGAGATGGAGTTGCTATGGATCCTGACACCCTAATAGAGTTGGCAGGACAGTAAGGAAGTTTCCCATAGAATCTTAGGCCCAAGATGCTACTGTGAACTCCCTTGGAGATGCCAAGATGCAGAAGCCTCCAGACTCCATTACACTCATCATGGCACCAAGCTCAGGAGCATGACGGAGTTTGGAATAAAACTGACCATAATTCAGGCACAAATTAACTCTTTTGCAGAAGGCTCGCTTTGAACCATCCCAGGAAGCTCACCCTCCCTCCAGCAGTAACAGAACATTATAGTGTAGTCCACCCAAAACTGGTTATACAGAAAGGCCTTAAGTGAGGAACGCTAGAGGGCAGCATTCATATTGTCAAAAAGCACTCTCTGGCTATAGCTACACAAATTGCTCTAATAGTTTTCACAGTTATTTGTCTCCTCAGAAAAAAAAATGGGAACTGTGGTTGGAGGAAGGAAGACATCTGGCATATGGTAGCAAAAAGCACCATCACCAAGCTACAATAATAATAATAATAATTTATTATTTATACCCCGCCCATCTGGCTGAGTTTCCCCAGCCACTCTGGGCGGCTCCCAATCAGTGTTAAAAACAGTACAGCGTTACATATTAAAAACTTCCCTGAACAGGGCTGCCTTAAGATGTCTTCTGAATATCAGGTAATTATTTATCTCTTTGACATCTGATGGGAGGGCGTTCCACAGGGCGGGCGCCACTACCGAGAAGGCCCTCGGCGCTGGATCTCAGTGTCCGGGCTGAACGATGGGGGTGGAGACAATACTCCAAATATTTTGCAGCAGGGGTCAGCAAGGTTTACCTCGCCTGGGCCAGTTCACTCCAGCAGAGATCCCTCTGTGGGCTGGATCGCGCAAGCGTGCGATTTCCAGTGTCTGCGTAGACGCAATTTCCAGCGTTGCCGCATGCGCAGACACTATTTCTGGCGCCACAGAAGCGAGTCCCCGCACTGCGCCAGTTTAGCGCAGCGCATGGGGACTCGCTGAGCGCGTGGCTCGGCTTGGGGGTAGCTCGTGGGCCGGGTAAACGACCCCCATGGGGGTGAGTTTGGGGGTGCCTGCTCTAGCAAAACAGCAGTGCATTTAAGTTTGATGAGGCCCTAAGCTACTGAAGGTAATGAGGCCCTTTATATGTCCAGCTGTCCTGTGTCAACAACAAACTGTTGCTGTTTTTTGTGTTGAATATCTGCTATATGGTAATTTATGGACCTAATAGGTATCTAAACCCACTTGCACATAACAAATAGGAGCCTACACAACACTAAACACTGCTGCTGTATGTAGGTTTTATTTTATTTGTTTTTTATCTTATATTTTTGAAATGTACATACAGTTGTTTTTTCCCTTTAATTTTTTGGGGGCCCCAAGAGAGTAGGGTCCTAAGCTATAGCTTCTTTAGCTTATGCGTAAATCCGGCACTAGCCCCACATCTCACCAGGAGGAAAACTCTAGCAGTGCAGAGAGCGCAATAAATCAGAGGTTGGGGCTGGAAAGCGAAGATTTGAGTTGCTTTGCCCAAGTGGAGACAAAATGTGTAGAGGAGAGAGAGCGAGAAAGGAAAGTCAGAGAGTTGAAAGAGACCCTAGAGGGTCATCTAGCCCAACCCCCTGCAATGCAGGAATCTCAACTGAAACATCCACCACAGGCGGCCAACCAAACTCTAAGACGGCCAAAAGAAAGTCTGAGGCAAAGCAAGGCTTTGGCTTTTTAACTTCCTCCGTCACCAGCAAACGCCACTGCTCGGTACCTGGACTGCTGCCGCTGCCTTCACGTGGTTCCCACCAGGGCTCGTCTAGGGTGTCCCCCATGCTGCAGGTCCTCCGCAGGCCACGCCGCTCCTACCAAGGGCTGAGAAGGGGGAGGAGCGGAGGAAGCCGCCGGCTGGCCCTGCTCCGACCGAGGACGGCGAGGTCCGCCCCGAGGGGCGGGTGTGGGACGGGGCCTCCGCAGGCGTCCCGAGCAACGAGCGCGGCGCCGCCCTCGGGAAGAGGAGGAGGAGGAGGAAGCCTTACTCCAGCGCCGCGTGGTCGTCGCTCCGCCTCCGCGTGCTTTGCTTGTGAATAAGCGGCTTTAGGATTGCGGGCGTTTGTCCGCGGGGTGCTGGTCCGGGAGCGGTAATACTTGCAAAGGGCTCATAAAAGGGTCCTCTAGAGAGGAGTTCATTGTGGGATCAGTGCTCCTCGCATATTCAAGGGGTTGCTTTTCCCCCCGTAGCGGCCGCGCGACGTCAAAGTGCCACCCCAAGTTTAATTCAGATTTAGCCTTCCTTGGAAAAATCACGTTGGTTTTTCTCTCTCACTCACACCAGCCCTATTGCTGGAGAACCATTTGCAATACAGTATCGCGACAAGCCGTTTACAATGCGAAAGTCAGTCCCCTTTTGAAAGCACCAGTGTCTACATTTTGGGGGTGCATCCTTCTCACAACATCACTAATAGATGGTGCATTGATTGGATAATCGTGTACTATGACTTTTGCTCTAATTGTGATATCTAGTTGTTGCTTTGCTAGCAGTGCTTTATAGGTTGCAATCGTTTCGCTTACGATGTTAATTATACTACATTATTTATTTTTTATATTATATCATTATATACATTATTTATGCCGGATGTGTGGTGTTCTGTATTATGTTCTATCATACTTGTTTATTGCTTGTAAGCTGCTTTGGGATTCATTTGAATGAAATACAGTGAATAAATAAAATAATGGATAAATATATTTTTTCCCCTTATGGGGAAACAGAAACACTTCTGTCCAGGGACAAAACCAAACACACGAACGAAATGCGGGGTGGGGAAAGAGCTTGCAAAGGGGACTCGTAACCTAAAGGCTGTGCGCCAGTTCCTTTATCGTAAGTCTATGCGCGAATGCTTCGCTTTACGGCAGCCGTGTCGCAAGGAGGAGGGGTTGCGACAGAAAACCTTGGCAATGTCGGCCGCGCTTTACGGCTTCGGTGGTGGGGCACGTCAACAGCTATGGCGGGAGCGGAGGAAGCGCTCCCACCGAGAAGCTGGTGAGTTGGACAATCCATCGGTTAATGGAGTTCTCCGGAGGGGGGCGGGGGTCGCTTTCCCCACCTTCGCCGCCTCTCGTCCCAGAAACTGCCCCGCCCGGAATGCCTGTAGGCTCTGGGCAGCCCCAGGCCGGCCGCGGCTGCTGGAGCCGACCGACTCCAGGTCCCTTCTGCCTCTTCCCTCCGCAAGGGCCGGTGTCTGGAGGGAGCAGGCAGGGCTCTCCGCACCCGCAGCCCCCCATTCCTCTCGGCTTGCCCCTGCTCGCTCCCGATGGAGGAGGAGGACGAGCTGTCAAGTTGGGCTTAAAGCCAAGGCTGGGATCCATCCCCACCCCTTAAACCCAGGCTCCTTCGAAACGAGGCATTTCTCAAGGGGCGGCGGGGGGGATCTGGATCTGGGATCGGGGCTATTATCGCATTATCCGGAACGCCCTTCTTTCAAGCAGCTTCTTGCACACCTTCTCAGCAGCCCTGTGGTTCAGTTTGGGCTGAGAGCTGAGCTGGATCAAGGTCCACCCGGCGAGGTTTACAGCTGAGCACCTTGGACTCTCCTCCCCGACCCCGGTTTGCTACTGTTTATCATGACTGCTGTTCCCCACTAGTAACTGTGGCTGAATGGCGCTCCCTATGCAGAGGCTCCAGTTACTGGATGCTTTGCCTGTGAGCATCTCACACGCTTCTGGCTGGCTGCTGGTGTGACTAGAATAATGCAAAGTTAGCCGGATCTCCGTCTCATTCAGCATGGCATTTCTTAAGGGTTCACACTAAAGACATGCCTGACTTAATTTTTATTGGGTCTGTATGATCCAGCCCAATGTGTGTGCCTAACGTATTTTCATTTTAGTTACTGTGGTGTCAATTGTTTTAAAATCTGAATTCATGTTCTTGGCAGTTTTCAACTCAGTTTCAGGAAACTGTCTAAGCGAGTTCATCTTTTCTAACTTTAATTTGGAGTGGACTTTTGTTCAAACTTTTTCTTTCTACAAAACTGCTATGATACTAATATACTTGGATCTTTCCCATATTATCATAGAAGTAACGCCCTCTAAATCCAGCTGAGCCAGTTTCTGAGTAATAATAATTCTAATTATAATAAGTTATTATCTATATGGCACCCATCTGACTAGGTTGCCCCAGCCACTCTGGGCGGCTTCCAACAAATTAAAACATCAGACATTAAAAACTTCCCTTCAGATGCCTTCTAAAAGTCAGATAGTAGTTTATTTCCTTGACATCTGACAGGAGGACATTCCACAGGACTTATACTCTGCAGCATGACTGGTTGCTTGTTTACTTGGATTAGAGCCTTAGAGAATACACACACACACCCCTTGCTGTTGTTATGAATAGAATCTGGTCTCACCTGATTGGATAGTACACATAAAAAAGATCTTTAGTTTTGTCCTTTCACTGAATGATTGTGACTTATATATTTGGTGCATCTTTTACCTGTGCATAAACAGTCTTCGATTTAATTAATTTGGCGTTAATTACTGTAAGCTACATATACAATGTAGCTTACAGTAATTAACGCCAAATTATCTGTTCCTCTAGATTTCCTTAGGTATGGGAAAATTTACCCCATGTCAGGTTCACTATCCACTGGTGTCAGAATATTCAAGTTGGCTAAATTTGGTGCATGATTACTCTCCTTTATGATTTCTAGTGTGTGGCTGTTTCAAGGAGTTTCTATCTAGAAAGTTAATTTTTAGACTTAAATACTGGACCTTTTGTTTTGCTTTATGTCACAAATGGAGAGTCCAGCTTTCTTTATAATGGGATTGCTTCCAAATTCCAGTCTGGGTTCAAAAAGATTTAATGTGCAGCCATATACTGAATTAGAGTAGCACTCCATGTTTGAGCAGACCTCAAACTTCACTTATCACAGGTTGCTTCTAGTCAACCTGTTTATTGAACATTCATTCTGATTTATTTGGACAAAGTTTGCAGGGAGGTTGAATGGGGTCTGTTATTTATTAAGCATTTGTCATGTCACAATGTAAATGATGCACTTAGTTATAAGTATCTCTTACTCAGCAATATTAAGCATGTTGCCACTTGTTTATAACATTGTCAAGCGCATTCTGAGATAAAGCCTACAAGTTGTAACTTTACTGTGGCAAAGTTTGTACTAGATGGATGAGACAAGAAATAGGTGTACTGTGTGATATGACTGAGCAAATGAGTTTGGAGGTTATAACGTAAGCAAAGACTGCTGGAGAATTCCAAAGGGCATTGTGATGTTGGAAGGTCTTTACAGTCTTTTCTGCTTACTTTTTAACAAACACAAAAGTTCATTGGATAAGCGTGGTTCAGAGAGAAGTATTGGGTAGAAGGTGCAAAAACTAATGGCGCTAATGAAAGTCAGGGCTAAGCACTAGCATACAAATTCTTTTATTCTAGGGTCACCTCCAGGATTGAACTTGTCTGTTATGGTCCTGCAATTGTGACTTCCTGGAGATAGACTTCTTGGAGTTCTTAAGTTCTTCATATACATGCAACCCCAAAAGAATATAAGGATCTCTGCTAGAATCCAGAAATTTTATATTCTAGGCACATGCCAGAATTCATGGTTGTCACAAAATTTCTAGCAATATGTGTTTTGGGGAATGTATTGATCCATTGTGGGAGGTCTTAGGAAAATCCTGATTGTTATAAAGACAAAGAGTACCTGATATGAATACTACCAATTGCCAAAAACACTTTGGAAATTTTAGCTCATGTTCATGTTTCAGAAAATGTACTTGAGTTTCCATGTAGTCTGAGAGAGTGACTGTGGCAGAGTTCTTGAATCTTTATGTTTCTGGGAATCAAAATGAAGAGCTTTCTTTTTTTTAAAATGACCCAGGGTAAGATTTTTAGGAACCTACTCTGCATGGATTGGAGGGAATTAAAATGTCTAGACTCCAGTAGCAGCTTTTTAAGGGTTAGGAGCCTGACTTTTTTCAAGTAGTAACTAGCTCTCTAAAAATCATACGTACTGTGCATTTTGCCTTAATGTGGCCAGTCATGTAGAGAATTCTGTTTGGACAGTAGCCTGCTAGCTTTGTCTCATGTACCAGTGTTGTAATTTGGAACAGAATCATGCCTATTTTTCTTACTCCCTGTCCCCTCACTAAACAGATAAAACACGAAATGGGTATTTAGCAAATATTTTTAAAATGGGAAAATATGTCAGGAAGAGTTGGGAAATAAGATGTAAAAGGCAGAAGAAAATCATTGTGAAACTGTTAGTGAAAAGGGTATTAAAAGTGTTCGAATGCAGCTTTTATGTGCAACATTTCCCTGGTCCTCCCCATACAATATTCAACTCCTTCCTTTGGAATTCCATTAAATTACTGGAAATATGCAGGAATAAGGAGTCTCACAATAGTATAGTTTTAAAAGTAAAACGCTCATTCATAGAATACCAAACTACTGCATAATGATAACAACAACAATACTTGGAGCCAGCTTAGTCCAGTGATTCCATCCGACCAACACATTGCTTGGATCCCCCAATAGCTTCTAGCGGTTTGAGACTTGCACCGGCTGCCTAGCTTTTTTTTTTTTTTTAAGCAACAACAACAATACTTAACATTTGTATAGCACTTGCAAATGTGTAAAGCGATACTTACAACAACACTGTAAAGTAAGTCAGTATTATTAACCCCCCATATTGCAGATGGGAAGATTAAGACTGAGGCAGAGTGGCCACCTTATGAGGTCACAGTAGAGACAAGGTTCAAACCAGGGACCTTTTCATTTGTAACATGGGCTCTTAGCCACTATGCTAAACTAGCTACGCAGAAAAGCTGAATTCACTTTTGTGTAAGTTCAGTGGGCATAGAATACTGACTAATAGTTGGAGCAAAAAAACTGAAAACTGGAGGGTGGGGAATGTAACTGAGTATCACAGAACAGAACATGGCTGGCTAGTTGGAATTTTGAACAGAAGCAATCTGCATGGTCTCATTTTCTTCCTCAAACACATGGATCTTTATCATAATT